GTGGGGGGGGGGGGGGAGGGTTGTGATGATCTAGATTTCTGTGCAGTATACCCGGCCATGAACCAACAAAGCTTGGGGTTTTGAAGTCTTAGAGGGCATTTCCAGAGATTTGGATCGATCTTACTAGATCGACCTAACTCCTTGGGGGTTCACGCTAATTACCCTCTTACAGTTTGTAGTAGGCGGGACGGACATTTAAGCCGGATTATCTGACAGTAATCTAGTGAGACTCTCCACGGGGATAGATCAATCTAAAATCTATGGGAATGCGCCCTTAAAGTCACTAAAACTTCATCTTACATGACTCAAACTCCTACTATATTTCTATTATAACTTGCACTGTCATGCATGTTCACTTTGGTAATAATTAGCTCCATTATGTTCATTAAAAAAACATGGGAAATGGAGACATCCCTAGGCTGGTAAAAAGATACCTCGTTCCAGCTAAGATCTCTGTTTTTTATGAGCCTTTAACTGTATTTACAAATGCCTGTGCATATAGCCATTGTCTGCATTGATCTGGTTTCACTGTCATTGTCAACATCAGAGCTCGATGTCGGCTTCTCATCTGTGGGCCCCCCTTCAAATAATCCTGTATCCTCACCTGCATACTGTCCTATTTTTGAGATTTTCCATGATATGAGTAATTATTGTTAACACCCGAAAATCAATCTAATTACATTGATGGTCATAAGTGAATAATGAATATAAGAGCAACAAATATGACAATGACAATTAATGTGTCCTTTCCCCACATGCCACTTAATTTATTATTACCATTATATAGAATATTCACCAAAGATGCTCTTAAAATGATTGTTATTCTATAGCCTGTGAATTTTCATACAGAAGCACTACAGTATGTACAGTTTATGATATTGATAATAAGGATAACACCCCAGAGCTTTCAGTTGTTTCCTGTGGTAAACATGCAAGGTAAAAACATCATGTGCTTCAGAGGTTTTCTTGAGACATGATGTGCAGAAGCAGCATGCAAATAAATCAGTGTATTATGGATGCATGTTGCCAGTCTTGAGTGTTTGTTGATGATGATTCCAGTTTTGTTTTATTCAGTATTTACAGAAACCTTGGGAGTGATTCATCAGTTTATGTTATATTATTAATTTAGGTTTCTGGTACATCATGGATAATTTGAATTAAACAACACTTATTGTCAAAATACTTATTTGAACTGGAGGCATAACTGTTTTTATCACCTTTTAAATAATTTAAATGTAGATTTCTTATTTATTGAAGGGTATTAGAAAATGTAGAATTAATGGGGCAAGTCAAAATTATGCAAATATAATACGAAATATATGTATGTATCTCTGACAAGACTGAAATGATCACGACATGTGCTTTCCTACGGAAACGATCACCCACGTAAGCTTCCTGTTGAAGTGAGGGGAAAAAAACTGCAGATTACATGTAGCAGAAACCTAAATGGATGGTGTGCACTGTCACATCATTATGCACAATTTATACATGTTTGTTTAAAATATATGTTTTTATATACAGGCGTGCACTGTATGTATCTGTCTGTCCATGTTGTTGATGTCTGACATATCTGTTGCTCACCTTATAACTGCATAACAGTATTTTTGTTTAACTTTTAATTATTTATTTATTTATCTATTTATTTATGTTGGCAATTTTTAACATTATGTGAAAAAATTATTTTTGTTTTTCCATGTTATTCAAGTATTTCAATTTTGCTGAATGTTTTTTTTCCCTGGTAAAAAGGTGAGATCCTTTCAAAAATCAATGTCCTCAGATTATTTTTACAGAAGTAATTTATTTATCTATCTATTTTTTTTTTTTTTTTTTTTTGGGGGGGGGGGGGGGATTTGTTTTTTTTATTTTTTTT